GTTTGATGGGTAGGGTCACTGATCTGAAGCTTAAAGTGAGGCACCATCAAAGGGCTCTAGGATGGTTTGGGAAACAGGGTGGCAGGTCCCCCCACCAAAAAAAAAATTTTAATGTAGAATTGCTATGACCCAGAAACTCCACTTCTGCGTATGTACCATATATACCCAAAAGAACAGAAAGCAGAGTCTTGAACAGATTATTCATATGCCCACGTTGATAGCAGCATCATTCACAATAGCCAAAAGATAAAAACAGTCCAAGTGTCCAGCGTCCATTGATGGGTGAATGGATAAACAACATGAAGTATATACATACAATGGAATACTATTCAACTTTATGAAAGAAGAAAATTCTGATTTCACTCATGCTACAACATGGAAGAACCTTAAAAACATCATGTTCAATGAAATAAGCCAGTTACAAAAGGACAAATAGCAGATGGTTCTACTTATATGAGGTAATGAGAGACGTCAAGTTTATAGAGACAGAAAGTAGAATGTTGTTTTCCAGGTGCTGAGAGGCGGGGAAATGGGGAGTTACTGTTTAATGGGGACAGCGCTTTAGCTGGGGATGATGAAAAAGACCTTGAGGTGCACGGTGGTGGTGGTTGCCCAACAACGTGAGTGGACTTGGTGGCACTACACTTAAAATGCTTACACTGCTAAGTTTTATGTCACTGTATTTTATTGCAATTTTTTAAAAAGTACTCTCAGTTTATAACCAATTCATGCAACATGTAATACCACGGGAATGCGGTAGAGGGCAAAGGAGTTTCAGCGTCACAGAGAAGCAGGATTCAGTCACTCCTGCAGCCAGTTCTGGCCCCGTCAGCGATTCATCCACACCTGCCGCTCAGACGGAGCTGCGGCAGCCTGCGAGTGGGAGCTGCTTGTTTGTCCTAACACGTCCGAAAAGGCGACGAGGGTAGCATTGGTCTTTCCTAAAGAGGAGATCATTTGAACTCATGTATATGGGGAAAAAGCAGCCTTATTCAGATTTTTAGTATTTATTATTTTGCCTATATTGCTCTGAGAATTAATGATTAGTGAATGACCCGAGGCTATCGATCTGAGGAGTTGTCCTGAAGATGCTTGAGGGTTTGAGTTTCCCTTCACTGGTTCCTGATTAAACCTGGTCAGCCCTCTACCTAGAGTGGATGCTCCCCAGCATTGCGGTGAGTTTTCTCCAGCTTCAGTTTTCCTGGAATGCATGTTAATGACATTGGCTCTTTGGCTATTTAAAGCATATTTGTTGCTCCTTTACAGTTTAAAAGTTCTGCACGTGTGTTGTATGTCTAAAAGTAGGGGTACATCTGATGGATTTTGTAGAATGTATCTCTTGCTCAGTTTCCTCTAGAAGCCCAAAGCAACCAAAGATGGTCATGTGGCTTCTGTAGAGAATGATTAGGAGCATCTAGGCATTTGATCTCCAGAAGAGCTTTCTCATAGAGCACCTGCCCTAAGCCATAAATTAGAGTTCTGTTCACTTTCTGAGTTTTATTTTAACTCTTGTGAGTTTGTAACTCTATGCATGTAGGCAAAGTCTCCTGAACTCTGTGACACCTGGCAGAGTGTCCCATAGCAGCTGCCTGACACTCGCAAGAGAGGCACAGCAGGGTGGGGAGGAAGGAAGAGGCCACCACGGCAGCAGGCCCTGGCGGTGGAATTGACCTTGGTGGTCGCATCCCAAACTACTTCATTTCAAGGTTCAAAATGCCTTCAGCTTGGGTTCTGGAAGGGACTAGACAGGTGTGGGTTCAAATCCAAGCTCTGTCACTTATTCACTGGGTCACCTTGGGCAAATTACTTAACCTCTGGATTTTAGCTACTTTGTTTGTAAAGAAGGGATAAAAATAGCCACCATTTTGTTGGGTTGCTGAGAGGACTGAGCAAGATAATGTATGGAAAGCAGTTAGCTCCAGGCCAGGCAGATAAGAAACACTTAACAAATGTCAGTCATTCTCACTCTTATGTTGCAAAGATCATTCAATGCTGAGTTGGTTTTTTTTTTTTTTTTTTTTTTACATTATTGGGAAAGTGAAATTAGAGGATTAAGTGTTCTTTGATGAACCACCAATAGTCATTTCATGGTGTCTTTTGACTTGGACTTTTAAATCATAATTTATTAAGAAAAGTCATTTTGTTTTTCACTTGCCTTCAGCATAGTAGTAATAGTAGTAGGAATATGATAATAATAAATAATACTTATTGGATATATATTTCATGAAAAGTTTATGTCTTACTTTAAAAAATATTTTAATGACATACCATGATGCATATGCCTTGCCTGAAATAGCACCTTTTTGTTTTATCGTTAAGAGAAGTTTTAAAAGAGTTAGTTCCGCTCCCTTCTTTAGAATAAGTTCTAGATGAGGTTGTGGTATTGGTGGGGAGAAGAGGTGGGTAAAACATGGAAGCTCTGACATCTCAACTCTGGGGATTCCAGAGAAAGCAACTGGCTTAGATTCTTCTGCATTTTTCAAGGGCCACAGCTCTTAGACCTGGGTGCTTCAAGTAAGTGACCACAGATTGGAGTACTTTGTGAGATGATAATGTTAAAAAACACCTTGAGCAGCTTAATGGCTGTAACTTCCATTGTCCTGCCATGCCATCCTGCAGCCTGAGACCAAAGGGAGAGTCAGACATACGGATCCTGTCTCCATGAGAAGATTTTTATATTTTGTTCATCATGAATTTCTGCATTAATGCATTAATTTTAATTTTAAAAATATTTCATTAAAATATTATTTACCTTGATTAGTGAGTTACGTGATGTCCCTTAAAACTTGTGGCTGAAATCACCCTCGTCTTGGACCTGGTGTCACCGTGTGTAATACCCTAGCCGTGATAACAGGTGATTTATACACATGACCTCTTTTATGCCTTTTCACAAAACCTATTTTACAGATGAGAAACTGGAACTCTTCAGCAGTTAAATAAATGGTCCGAGCTAACACAGCCAGTGAGTAGCTAAGCTTGGACGTAGCACAGATCAACCAGTCCCTTACACCAAACTCATTCTTGAACCGTCATGCACTGCATCATATCGAGAATTCACAACACAAGTTCATTCATTCAACACATATTTTTGAGAGCATATTAGGTACCACCTTGTGCTTAAAAAATACAAAATGAAATCATTCATTCATTCATATAAACATTTTAAAAAGTATTTCCTGGGCATGTACTATGTGCCAGGCTCTATTCTATATGCTGCAAATATGGATGTGAACAAGACTGTCAGCTCTTTTCTCTCATGGGCCTGAGAGGTGGGAGAGCTAATTAATAAACAAATAAATGAACAAAAGTTTAGATAGTAGTAAATGCTCCATTTTTTAGAGGAATAAAATAAGGTGATATGACCTAAAAGCAAATTGGCCACAAGATTAAGTAGTCAAATCAGGTCTCTGGCCAAGTATGTATTTGATAAATGTCTTGAATAATGAATACTGTGAAAATCTTAGTTCTTCAACCACCTCTGCTCTGTGTCTAATCAAACACCTTGTAGCCTGACTCCTGTCAAAGTCCTCAGAGTTCTGCATCCATGCATTTCCTCATCTGTTAAATGCAAGAAATAATACTTTCCTCAGAATGTTGTGATAAATCAGTGAGATAATATATACAAAGGGTTTAGTATTTACTTTGGCCCATAGAATGCCACCAAGAAATGGAAAGTGTTTTCCTCCTCATTGTTATTATTGTTTGGCAGGGATCCAGACTGCTTTTGCACCAACCTGAAGACATATGGAGGCAGAAGGACAGGGACCATTCTGTTTATGTCTATGCTTTGGACCTTCCACATCCATTGGTGTTGTTGAAAGTGAGATATTATTAGCTCCAGGGACTCTCTATGCCCACAAATTACAAAAATTGAGGAATACCTTATAGCATTAGTTTATGGGCTCACAGTGTTGGGTGATAAAAAATTACTTTCATTGAGAACTTACATCCACACTAAAACCTGCATGCAGATGTTTATAGCAGCTTTAATTGTAATTGCCAAAACTTTGAGGCAATCAAGATGTCTTTTAGCAGGTAAAGGAATAAATAAGCTGTGGCACATATGGACAAATGAAATTCTATTCAGTACTAAAAAGAAATGAGCTATCAAGCCATGCAAAGACATGGAGGAAACATAAGTGCATATAACTAAGTAAAAGAAGACAATCTGAAAAAGATGCATAATGTATGATTCCAACTATATATTCTGAAAACGACAGAACTATAGAGATCATAAAAACATCAGTGCTTTCTTGGGGCAGGGGTGTAGATAAAATGGCATAACACAGAGGATTTTTTTAGGGTGGTGAAAATACTCTGTATGATACTATAATGATGGATACAGGTCATCACACATTTGTCTAAACTCATACAATGTACAAGAATGAGCCATAATTGTAAACTATGGACTTGGAGTGACTGTGATGAGTCAGTGTAGATCTATGGATTGTAACAGATGTATCACTCTGGTGGCGGATGTTGACAAGGAAGGAGGCTCTGCATGTATGGGGACAATAAATCTCTGTATCTTCAGCTCAATTTTGCTGTGAAACTTAAAATGCTCTTAAAAAATAAAGTCTTTAAAAAATTGCTTTCAATTTTCTTAAAGATTTCAGGCTATCAAGAGGAAATGTGAGAGAGGGTGTTGAGTATGCCCTGGCAATAAAGTTTCTAAGCTGAACCCAGAAGGCACTTCTGCCAGCTATTCCATTTCTCCCTTTTGGGAATCCTGACTTGTCTCAAGAGATACGGCACAATAACTGGCTTGGAAATCTATGAGTCAAGTTTGTGGAACAAGTTCAAAGACTCAGTATACATGTTAGGACCCTATTTCAAACTCTTGGTGAATATAGTCATTTGTTGGAATTTTTAAAAAAATAAAATCCTACAGGATTTAACAAACCACATAACTACTCAATATTATTTACTGTCTTCTAGGATTTTGAACTCCTCTTGATCATTTATATGAGGGAACCAATGATAAAATCCTTGGAATTAAGATGAGACATATCAGAAGCATTTATGTGTTTTGTGGTATTGTCATGTCAGCATGTGGCCGGGCTTCAGAGCTGCTGGAAGAAAGGGAACTGACTACCAACTGCTCTAAGATGTCACTAAGAAAAGTTCCTGCAGACTTGATCCCGACCACGACCACACTGGATTTATCCTACAACCTCCTTCTTAAACTCCAGAGTTCAGATTTTCGTTCTGTCTCCAAACTGAAAGTTTTGATTCTGTGCCATAACAGGATCCAAGAGCTGGATATCAAGACCTTTGAATTTAACAAGGAGTTAAAATACTTAGATCTGTCTTACAACAAACTGAAGACTGTGACTTGGTATTCACTAGCAGGTCTCAGACATTTAGATCTTTCTTTCAATGACTTTGACACCATGCCTATCTCTGAGGAGATTAGCAACATGTCTCACCTGGAAGTCTTAGGTTTGAGTGGGGCAAAAATACAAAAATCAGATTTCCAGAAAATTGCTTACTTGCATCTAAATACTGTTTTTTTAGGATTGAGATCTCTTTCTCACTATGAAGAAGGCAGCCTGCCCATCTTAAATACAACAAAACTTCACATTGTTTTACCACAAATTTCTGGGCACACAAATTTCTGGGTTCTTTTGCGTGATGGAATCAAGACTTCAAAAATATTAGAAATGACAAATATAGATGGCAAAAGCCAATTTGCAAGTTATGAAACTCAAAAACATCTTATCTTAGAAGATTCCAAGACATCCATCCTCTTACTTAGTAATGTTGATTTACTTTGGGATGACCTTCTCTTTATCTTCCAATTTGTTTGGCATACATCAGTAGAACATTTCCAAATTGAACATGTGACTTTTGGAGGTATGGTGTATCTTGATCGCAATTCATTTGACTACTCAAATACTGTAATGAGAACTATAAAATTGGAGCATGTACATTTTACATTTTTTAATATTCCACAGGAGAGTGTCTACTTGCTTTTTACCAAAATGGATATAGAAAACCTGACAATATCAGATGCACAAATGCCTCACATGCTATTCCCTGTTTATCCTACAAGATTCCGATATTTAAATTTTGCTGATAATATCTTAACAGATGAACTATTTAAAAACCCTATCCAACTGCCTCATTTGAAAACCCTCATTTTGAAAGGCAACAAATTGGAGACACTTTCCTTAGTGAGTTGCTTTGCTAAGAACACATCCTTGCAGTTCTTAGATATAAGCCAAAACCTGTTACAACATGAAAATAAAGAAAATTGCTTTTGGCCAGAAACCTTAATCACCATGAACCTGTCATTCAATAAATTTGCTGATTCTGTCTTCAGGTGCTTGCCCACAAGTATTCAAATACTTGACTTGAATAATAACCAAATTCAAACTGTCCCTAAAGAGATTATTCATCTGCAGTCTTTGCTAGAGCTAAATCTTGCATTTAATTTCCTAACTGATCTTCCTGGGTGCAATCATTTCAAAAAACTCTCAATTCTAAACATTGAAATGAACTTAATTCTCAGCCCATCTCTGGATTTTTTTCAGAGCTGCTCAGGAGTTAAGACTCTAAATGCAGGAAGAAATCCATTTCGGTGTACTTGTGAATTAAGAGATTTCATTCAGCTTGAGAAATATTCCAAGGGCATGCTGGTTGGATGGTCAGATTCATACATCTGTGAATACCCTTTGAGTATAAGGGGGACTCAGTTAAAGGATGTTTACCTTCCTGAATTATCCTGCAACACAGCTCTGTTGATTGTCACTGTTACGGTGATCATGCTGGTTCTGGGGACAGCTGTGGCCTTCTGCTGCCGCTACTTTGATCTGCTCTGGTATGTCAGGATGCTGAGTCAGTGGACACAGACGTGGCACAGGGTTAGGAAGACAACCCAACAACTCAAGAGAAATGTCCAATTCCACTGGTTTATTTCATACAGTGAACATGATTCTGCCTGGGTGAAACACGAATTGATCCCGAACCTAGAGAAAGAAGATGGTTCTGTCTTGATTTGCCTTCCTGAGGGAAACTTTGACCCTCACAAGACAGTTACTGAAAATATCCTAAACTGCATTGAGAAAAGCTGTAAGTCCATCTTGGTTTTGTCTCCCAACTTTGTCCAGAGTGAGTGGTGCCATTATGAACTCTACTTTGCCAACCACGCCATCCTCAATGAAATTTCTCATTGCATAATTCTTATCTTACTGGAACCCATTCCACTCTACTGCATTCCTTCTAGGTATCCAAAGCTGAAGGGTCTCATAGAAAGGAAAACATACTTGGAATGGCCCAAGGATAGGCGTAAATGTGGACTTTTTTGGGCAAATCTTCGAGCTACTCTTAATGTTAACTTATTAGAAACCGAAGACACCTGTGAACTACGGACATTCACAGAGTTAAATGAAGAGTCTCGAGGTTCTGCAGTCTCTCTGATAAGAACAGATGGCTTATAAAACTCCATTCTCCCTTAGAGAAATTGGGGCCCACATATACTGTTGGGATATAACTTGATACAACCTTTATGATGAAGATTTGGCACTATGTATTAAAATGAAAAATAATTGTTCCCTCACCTTAATTCCGTAAACGTTTTCTAAGAATGTGTCCTACAGAAATACAGGCTTGCAAAGGTTTATATAAAAAGTTGTTTGCAAGTTCAATTCCTAGTCAGGGCACATACTTGGGTTGCAGGCCAGGTCCCCAGTTGGAGGTGTATGAGAGGAAACTGATGATTCTCTCTCTTTCTTTATCCCTCCCTTCCCCTCTTTCTAAAAATAAATAAATAAAATCTTTTTTTAAAAGGTGTTTGTCTCAGCATTGTTTATAATCATGAAAAATAGAAAACAGCTCAAATGTCCACAAAATAAGGATTGATTTCATAAGTTATAATACATTAATGCAATAGAACATTTAAAAGAATGAGGTATCTCTACATTTACTGGTATGGTGAAAATCCTCTTAATATGGTGGTTTTTACACTGAAACAAAAGTCTAAAGGAATCTATACCCATACTTTGATATAAAACAGTGGTTTGAGTCTGGGAGGTTGGTTCAAAGAGCACTTGGTTTCTATGTTGTATATTTCTATAATGTTGGAGTTGCTTAGAATGAATCTGTATTTCTTTTATCAGAAAAAAACAATAAAGATTATTTTTAAAGTCTATACATCCTATTCATTTTGCTTGATTCTTCCCTCCTGTCTCACAGATCATCAAAGGAAAACCAGCCTTCCTGAATTATGCAAAATTATATTTCAAAACGTGTTACTTCCCTGGTGAGAAAAATTTTTTGTGGCTCAGGCTCACCCACATGATAAAAGAAGAAAATGCCAGGCTCCTATAAGATCTGACACCAATCTCCTCTCACTTCCCTGTACCCTATCACTGAGCCCTACCAACTTGCTGATCTTTCTCCAGAACATTCTGCCTTCTCTCAGGCCCCAAAGCTCTAGCACAGGGGTGTCCAGCCTGCGGGCCGCGAACCGCATGCAGCCCAGGGTGGCTGTGAGTGCAGCCCAACGCAAAATCGTAAATTTACTTAAAACATTATGTGGGGCTTTTTTTGTTTGTTTGTTTGTTTTGTTTTTTTGCCATTATGTGTCACAATGTATTTAATGTGTGCCCCAAGACAACTCTTCTTCTTCCAGTGTGACCCAGGGACATCAAAAGTTTGGACACCTCTGCCTAGCATTTAATATTGCGACTGCCTATAATACCTTTCCCCCTTGGTTCATTCAGGAAATCTTATCTACCCTTCAAGGCACAATTCAAATGTCAACTCCTCTTTGAAACCTTCCTCACTTCTTTGCCCAAACATTGTGCTACTTGATTAGTACTTGATTATAACACTTCAGATATATTTCTGTCACCAAAGTGATAATATATGCTTTTAAAGCCTCCATTTCTCTCTAGACTCAAAGGCTAGGACAGACTTCCCTCTGTTCTTGTATCAGCAGCAGTGCTCTTAGTCCCTCGTTCAGAGATGTTCAATGAGTGCTGAAATGAACGTTGGTTAACTGAAAGAACTTAGTGGGGACTAAACAAACTTCAGGATAGATAGTGGAATTTGATGGCAAATTCTGAGAAGCTGGACAGGAAGTTCAAGAACAGGTTAAAGCTAGGTAAGAAGACAGAGAATCCAGAACTGAAGGATTCTTGAGTTCAGCTTGAATCATGTAAACTTACCTATATTTGGTTGTTCTTGACCTAGGACAACATGGTTTATCTCATTCTACTTAATAAAATTAATCTCCTAAGCAGGGCACAATTGGGTTCTACATCTGCTTTCTTTCCGTATAGTTGTGGTCTTACAAATTCCTTGGATTAGTAGTCATTTGAAAAATTGTACTCAAGATATACTGAAGGTATAGGGAGAGGGCTGGGTGCCTATCTAGAAGCCAGTTTGAGCTACTATTTGTCTACTACAAGGAGCCCAAGTTCAGAAACCTTGAGGCTATGTGTCTCTCTTCTTCCTTCCTGCCAAGCCCATGGTCTGTTGGTAGAAGGGAAAGCCCAAGGAAACCACAGTGAGGTGAGGACAGAAAGGGCTTTCCTCCTAGCTGCTGATAGTTTAGTAGTGGTGATTCATGCATGGCTTCTGGAGGAGTTGTACAGATACTGCATGAGGATCTTACAAATACTGAGTACATTACTCAGAATGAGACTCTTAACTTTAAAGATTAATTAGTAACATGAAAAGTAGTTAACATTCACCCTAAAGTCACCAGTAGTATCCTGTAGTAGAATCCTCAGTTTAGTAATACAGTTTTTAAAATAGAAATTTTTTATTACAATTAAAAAATAACACATTAGGCTTCGATCTCAGGAACTTCTTGTTTCAGCAGCTGGACTACTCTTAAATCTTACTTATCAGATCATTGTACTCTTCCTTTCTCAGAAACTTTGATACCATCCATTTCCAAATGTGCTTGGTTTGGACTGCTATGGTTCATAAGGACAGAAAATGAAGTATACATGAGTTTAATGGTGGGGCTTGAGATACAGGTAGCACCTAGCCTCATACAAGCCCCATGATATACTTTTACTCAAGAAATTTCAGATTTCAACAAGTGACCCAAGATGTTGATAGGGAAGTGAAGGCACTCAGGCTGCACACAGTAACGGAAGCCAGTGCAACAACTTTGATCTTGTTTTGAAAACGACTCCAGATCTTGTAAATTTGCAAGTTCCTTATAATATCCTTGCCATTTGTCAGTCTAGAGCTTCTCCTTCTATTTCCACCCAAGGGTACTGAGCTCTGTGTGTCAATGTGACTGAAGTCTGTGGGTTCCTTAGAGGCCCCTCACAATCACTGTGCCTCTCTGCAGATAAATGGCAGTAGTTTCGGGGTGGCAACAGTTCAGCATTTTGTTCACGTGGTAGAGAGTGTTGTACTAAAAAGGGACTGGAGTCCTCGAGTTCCAAGTGGCTTGGAGAGGGAAGAAAAGAATTTTAAATCTAACTTAAAGCAAATGTTGCCTAAAGGTTCAACTCCTTTATCTCTTATAACAAAGCAGTCCAAAAAAAAAAAAAAAGCATAGAGTAGGAATAATTAAACTGAGTGAGAATTTAGAACTTATCAAGTATCAACTCTTACTTTCAAATGGGGAAAAAGAGCCTTTAGAATTTTCACCTACATCCGTGGTCAAACATTAGTCTTCTAACTCCTCGATAAACACTTTTCCTTCCAATCCACAACAAGGTGCCTTTTATTTTTTACATTCGACTTTATTATCTTGAGCCTTTCATTTTCGTTCTCAAGATCAGAGCCCTATACTCCCCATAATCATTTGAGACCTGGGCTCTGTCTGCAGTCTCTGCACTACCAAAGCAACCTGCATCTGCCACTGAATTTACGCCCCTAACACAACTGTGTGATTCAGGACGCAGTTCATTCTCTCTCTAAAGAACAATCTCATTCTCTCAGTAATACATTACAAGGTGGCTCCTTGGATCATCCACCCTTTGTCCCCAAGGCAGACGTGTTCTTGGTGTAAAGCATGAAGAATAACAGGGAGCCTGATTTCCCTGGCTGTTTGAGGACATCGTCGGTCCTCTGTCAGAGCTGCTTCCCATAGTCCCTGAGCCCAGCTTTTCGCTGCTGTGCTGTGGCACCTGCTGTGCTACTGGTATGGACATCAGTCTTCTACCGGACTTCGTGAGGGTCTGATAGTATGTTCTGAAGTCCCCACAGGTGGCAGGCACAATGAATTCTCACTGTGGATAAGGAGGTGGTCTAACCTGGATGTCTATTTCAACAACCAGCTGCTGACACACCGCCCCCTTCACAGACAAGCCATTATGGAGCTGCTGAAGTACTTCACGTTCAGTTGTCCAAGGCCAAAGGTGCGGCCAAAGGTGGACTTGTTCCAGGTCGGGGTTAGGGTGGTTGGGTGGGTGGGGCCTCCCCGCCAGCACAACCCTAGACAGCAGCTGCAAGTCTTCTTCACAGTGACAGGCATTTATCTTCAGGATGCGTCTCCTCAGTGGTGTCCAAAGTGGCCCAGTGATAAATACTAACAGTGCACGCACATTCTAAAAATTATTTTTAAATATCTGAATAAAATCCAGTGGAGTGGATTCTAAATCTACTCACGTTTCCCCAACACATACCAATATGACCTTTGCCTTTCAAATGTTTGCTCCAATCACATTTCCAGTGAAGACTTCCTGGATGACCTAGTTGAAAATCATGGCACTCATTGTCCACCTTCCTTGCTTTTTATTTCTCCATAGTATTTGCCACCTTCTAAATTACTGGATCATTATTCTACCTATCTTGCTTCTTCTCTGTCTTCTGCCACTAGAATGCAAACTCCTTTAGAGAGGAGATTCTCGTCTGTGTTGCTCACAGATGTCTCCAACTCTGCCTAGAACAGTGACCCGCACGTAGCCACTCTTCAGGTCCTTTCTGAAGGAAGCAGAGTTTGTCTGAGGACATTTTGTAAATAAGGCTGCCCATTCAGTGTCAACCCTAGGGGTCATAAATGAAGGCTAGCCCTGAGCAGTGTGGCTCGGTTGATTGGGTGATCAGGACACATCCCTGGGTTGCGGGATCAGTTCTGGTCAGGGTGTGTACAGAAGGCAACCCATCCATGTTTCTTGCTATCATCAATGTTTCTCTCCCTCTCTTTCTCCCTCCCTTCACCTCTCTCTAAAAATAAATAAAATCTTTTTAAAAATGCTAAATGGGGAATATAGATTTCACTTGTCAGGAGTGTCCCTCACCTTTAATAAGTATACATTTGCTTACATTTTCTAGGAGCTGCCATCACTGGGTTGTCTCCCTCCACCTTCTGTCTTTGTCTCTTCTCTTCGCTTCCTCCTGTTGGGATCTGCTTGATCTCAGGGATTTGCTGCGACCAGCTTTTGCACTATTTCAGAGTCTAAAGATTATGTGAGTCACCATGAATGGGGTTTTTGGGTTCCCGCATGACTGCCCCTGTGCTTGCTGT